TAGAGATAGTGTCTGTCTCCTGAATCCAAACTGGAAGCTGGTTCCACAGAAGAGGGGCCTGAAAACTGAAGGCTCTGCCTCCCATAAGGTTTTAAAGCTGTAAAACCCCTCACTACTCACTTTATACACTTTTCTCAGACAGACATTTTCACACTTTTCTCTCTTGTTTAAACACAAAGTTCAAACCATCCATCCATCTTCTTCCGTGTTATCCGGGGCCGGGTCGCAGGGGCAGCAGCCTAAGCAGAGAAGCCCAGACCTCCCTCTCCCCAGCCACCTCCACCAACTTATCCGGGGGGAACACCAAGGCGTTCCCAGGCCAGCCAAGAGATATAATCTCTCCAGCGTGTCCTGGGTCTGCCCCGGGGCCTCCTCATGATGGGACATGCCCGGAACACCTCACCCAGGAGGCATCCTTGTCAGATGCCCAAACCACCTCAGGTGGCTCCTTTCAATGTGGAAGAGAAGTTCAAACCTTCATAGAAAAAAAAGCCCAGTATTATAGAATGAAGCCAAAGATCAAACCCTGTTTTCAGGTCCAGAACATGGGAATAGAGCAGCTGCCAGAGAATTCAACATAATGAATCAATGGTACAGAAGTGGAGGAAGCCAGAAGAATGAGCATGTCTTTTTGTGCGATGGTTAGCATCTTCCTCTGCCTGTTGGGTACTACCGCAGAAGCCTTTGACGGTGCAAAACGTTTCGTCGACATTGTCGTGTTTGTTGGGGAGAAAACTTACAAACTTACAGTACAGCAGAGTCACACTGCTAGGATCAAAGATTTATGTAAATTTGACAATCTGAACACGTTCTGTACTGTACAGGAGACACGGCACGAGATTGATTACAATGGTCTACAGCCAATCAGGACGCAGAACACAATGTGTTGTTTAAAAAAAAAAAGGATGCAAAATTGCACCAAAAAAATCAGCGAAACAGCGAAAGGTGAACTGCGTTATAGCGAGGGAGCACTGTATATCAAAGATTTCTGGACTCAAACTATGATTTTTTTTTTAGGCAGAAGTGATGATTTGTGGATGAGAGGGTGCAATTCTAGTAATCAGTCAGTGTCACGTCAGTCTAACTGACTGTTTTTGAAGACAGCCTGAAGTGGCCCCAGGAGGAACTAGTTTCTGGTACTTCTACAGTACTTCAGCTTATCAACCCCAGACCTTACTGCTAGTTCTGTAATACCTGTAATAATAATAACTGTAGCATTAAAGAGGAAGAGGAGCCCCCGCCACACACACACCAAATAAATAAATAAATTGTGAAGATACTAACTAAACACGATTGTGTGCAAAGGTTTGTGCATGGACCCAGATAGAAGACACATGGGGGCCTAATCTGGACTTCTTTTGGCACAGCACTCGCAAGTCCTGTATCCAGGCAGGCTTTACATGGGTTACATGTGTTATATGGGCCAGATGCAGGCCAGATGTAGAACTGACCCATGTAAGGAGCACCTATATCCATACTGTAGGACCTTGGGCTCATCAAGAGTCTTTAAACTCCATTTTGGGGCCTTTGTAGTTCCTCCTTTAGGGCAGGTGCGCTTCAGCACAATAAGATCCTTTTGTTTATGTAAGTAATTGTACACATGTGCGTATCTATTTGTCTAGACTGTAGTTTGTAAGTTTATACCTGTTACTGTTTCCAGGGCAGGCAGGGCGGGGTGGAGATCTACCCCTGGGAGGATGCTGATTACAGCATCTACAAAGTCATCGACCGTTTCGGCTTCATGCAGTAAGTCTGTCTTCAAAGTAAAGTCATGCCGGTTGGTAGCACTCTGCCCTGTTTTGTTGCATCTCATCATTTGTTTCTCTTCATTCTTCCAGTGAAGATGAGCTGCCGGCACCAACTGCACATGAAGAGAAGGTAAAGAGGCAAATGCCACATTTCTTTCAGGACAAATGCATGCAGTAGGTTGTTTTTGTTCACCAGCTTCTTTTACTTTCATAGCTGAAGCAGCAGGAGATCGAGAGAGCAGAGAAATGGCTGAAGATGGTGAAGAAGTGGGATAAATACAAGAACAGTGACAGGGTGAGTAACAGTTTGCACACGGAGCACATGGAAAATTCAGAACAGATTTATAATGACTTCATTGCTGGAGACAATTGCTGACAAACATGTAAAACTGCAGCTGGTTTCTCTGATGTCAGCGAGTTTTGTAACACAGACTGAATCACAGCAAGTGTCGGTGTTGAGTCCAGAACATATTCAGCTCAAATGTACTCCCTCATTAAGAATTCTGAATCAAAGCTTCTCACCAGAATATAAATCACACTAGGAGAGGAAAAAACCTACAATCTTCTCTCCATCTCGATAATGATGTCCTCATACAAGCTTCTGGCAAGTGTCCCCATAAATCTCACAAGCAGTCATTAGCAATAACAATTTTGCTGAAAAAATGATGAAATCAGATTTCTTATATGCTAATTTCATGTTTCCATTATACTTTTTAAAAATGTATTAAAAAATCCCATTGTACAACGCAGAGGTTGGGTTCTGACACTCTGCAGTTCTGGGTTAGTTTCTTTGGTTTTGCACCGACACTCTTCCTCACTAAGACGATGTGCGTCCTTGTACGGGATGTGTAAAGGTGGAAAATTAGCTTGACTGGTTCTGACCCTCTGGACAAACACCTACATTAGTGAGAGAGTCGCTGCTATGCTTATTGATCGTTGTTACTGTGGCTGGAAAATCAATAGACTCAACCAGAGCAGCTGAGTGTACATCCACCGTTAGCTTGGTCTCCACTAGTGTCAGTAAGTCATCCATCCGCTTCCAGTTATCCTTTTCAGGGCTGCAGGGGCTGCTGGAGCCTGTCCCAGCTGTCATAGGGAGAGAGGCGGGGTACACCCTGGACAGGTCGCCAGTCTGTCGCAGGGATGACACAGACAGACCATTCACGCTCACATTCGCACCTGTGGGCAATTTGGATTAATCAATTAACCTATCCCCACTAACTGCATGTCTTTGGGGAGGAAGCCGGAGTACCCGGAGGGAACCCACGCAAACAGGGGAGAACATGCAAACTCCACACAGAAAGACCCCGGCCTGATGGTGGAATTGAACTCAGGACTTCTTGCTGTGAGGCAACAGTGCTAACCACCGTGCCACCGTGCTGCCTAAATTGTTCATAAATAATAAATCTCTGTGTTATTCTAAGGTCTTTACCATAAAATATAAAGCACCTTGCAGTAACTGTTTTGGTATTTGGTGCTATATAAATCAAACTGAACTGAGTTCAGTTCAGTTTGATCCATCATTGAGCATTTCTGTCATCTGTCTTTGTTAAAAACATGAAACATTATCGTGCTCGAAGCATGAATTTGAGCTCTTTGTTAGCCTAACGCTCTCTTTTAAAGTCGTCATTGAGCTCGTTCTAGTTGTAATTCTAGTTTCCTTTTCCAAATGACTGAATAAATAATACAATATGTACAGTTCCACCTGACCAAAGCTGGTGACAGTAGTCTCTGTTCTGCTCTGCAGCTGTGGTGAACTCTGTGTAGTGGCAGCAGATCTCTGACTGCTGTGGATTCTGGTTCAAAGAGCCACCAGTTTACAGCAGATCCCTAAAGCAGAACAAGCACTTCTGTCACCAGCTGAAGTCTACAAACTCAACAAAACTCTGTGCTATACACCAGCACAACACCAAGCTGACCAGTTTACTCAGAGGCAGCACATTAGTGTATAAGGACCAGAGTTAGTTGGTTAGCAGTGACTGAACAAAGTCAGGGCTGGGAGGCTGCAGGAGTAAATATCATGTTGCTGTCTCGGAAAGATGGAAAAATAATAATAAATCATTAAAAAATATAGTTGTGCAGCCTGTCTAAGTAAAAAAAAACCCAGAGTAATCAGAAAATTGTAAAAATCTGTAGCTAGAAGTGTAAAGTGCTTTATGAATGTGTGGCTAAAATGTGACTTGTAGTCTAAAGCACTTTGAGTGGTCAGTAAGCTGAGAAAAGCACAAGTACATCAAATACATACACAGCAATGAGAGCAAGCAAGGTGGATGAACTGTGCATGGCAGGCAGGACTGGACCCGAACGCAGACTCACAGACACAGAGGAACAAAGCAAAACAACAAACAGACTAAAACTCACGCTGAATACAATTAAGCATTAAGTCCAAAAGAGAAAGCACTTGGGGGGGGTGTTTCCATGTTGATGAGTGGAGGTACTTGAGGTAGAAGTTGCAAAGCCAACCAAGTTAACAGAAACTGTACGACAGAGAGATACTTACAAACCTGCTTCGAGTGCTCACGGAAAATGTTTTCAAACTTTTGGCTTTACTGTGAACGGGGTCGTAGGCGATCAGTAGGCGGTTTAACTTTCTGATGATTCAGTCTTTGTAGCTTCTGTTCTCTAAACTTTGTGGCGTTTTATTCACTCAGTGTTTATGATTCCCTCTGCTCTCTGCTGCCAGATGGTAAAACGAGTATACAAAGGCATCCCCCTGCAGCTCAGAGGCCGGGCCTGGGCACTGATGCTGGACGTGGACAGGGCCAAGAAGGAGAACGAGGGCAAATATGAGGTATTTATTCACGTCTGAAATGAGTCTCTTTGCAAATCTGTTCCAAGCATAAAAATAAGTTGGACATATAAATACGTTTTTTAAAAAGCTGAGAGAAAAACATTGTTATAACTGTTATAAACTGTAGCTATGTTGTAAATGTTACAAGTCTAATGTAATAAAGTAAAAGTATAAAGTAGCATGTTTTAAAAAAAGTTAAAGCTATGAAATATCAAAGCTGACAGTCTTATCACCTGGCAGACTGATCTTAACTGACACATACTTGTAAAGATGGTCCACCAACCTGTAATCACATTTTCAGCACATTCATAGATGCAATCACATTTTCTCTGATAGACGAGATGTTTCAGAAAACTGATGAAACACATATAAACAGTTAGCATAATCAATAATAGATTCATTCTGACTGAATTTACAATATATATTCCCTGATATGTAAAACTTGTTTTTGTAGCTCTACTGAATGACACATTTGTCTTTCAGCACAGGTACCTCCACATGTCCTTGTTGACTTTTGTCTGTTTTTCACTCAGAAAATGAAGGAGCAGGCCAGGCTGTGCTCATCTGAGATCAAACAGATTGACTTGGACATCAACAGGACATTTCGAAACCATATCATGTTCATGGATCGCTTTGGAGTCAAGTAAGTTTCACTGTCGAGTCGGATTTTGCAGCTGAAACGGATTTCAGACGGATAAACAGCTCGGACTTTCTGTTCTCAAAGAATATTTATAACCGCCAAGCTCAGTGGTGGGATCCAAAGTTACAGAGACATATTTTCAAAGTACTGAGCAAATGATGTAACTTGCACATTAAAGAGGAATACAGTGTGAAAGCATACAGTTATCATATGCTTTCAGCAAAGTGTTAAGATTGTTAGGTCGCAGTGCTAATTATTAGGGCTGGGTATCGTCACTGATTTCTAGAATCGATTCAATTCCGATTCACAAGGTCCCGAATCGATTCGATCCACGATTCGATTTAATTCGATTCGATTTAAATCTGGGAAATTTTGACAGTCAGAAATATTATAATTCAGATCAGTACATTTACATATTTTTGTATCAATAAAAAGGAAGCTGACACACGCAAGACTTTATCACAAGGTGTGAGCATCACAGCAGATGCCTTTGTGTCAAAGTAGCTGAAGATAAAACACAGAAAAACATGAAGGTGATTTTCCTGGCCTGGGATTTTATAAAAATATTCTGCAGTACATCAAAAACGAAAGAAAACCATTAATCAACATATGAACATTACCTCTGACGTTACAGCGGTTTTATTAGAGACACGGTTAAGCGTTTTGCATTTTGAATAATTTTAAAAAGTTTAAATTTGTTCAGTATTGAACAGCAGAAATGAGGTTTTCTTTTCGGAAGAATGTAAAAGGGAAAAAAACAGCGGCCGACAGCCTGTAAACAACGGTAGACTTGTGCGTAACAAGCAAGCGAATAATGAAGAAAGAGAGAGAGAGAGAGAGAGCTGTGCATGAAGTGTGATTTTTATCCTGCAAAAGTCAGCAAAAGTCAGAGTGAATTCATGACGATGTTTATGTGAAGCGTAGTTTGGATCTTCTTTTGCTGCTGGTTCGGTCAATATTGTTTGGAGAGAGATAAAACTAACAGCCATATGATCAGCGCAAAAAGGGCGTAAACACACAGCGCGGACCCGCGGATCAGAATCAGCGAGCTGTCGGCTTTCAGCCCCGACCGTGAGAAAGGCGACATCTCACTGATTCTGATCCGCGGGTCGCGCTGTGTGTTTACGTCTTTGTGCAGAAGCCGTGTACCTGCTCTCATTTACTGTCTTAGCTGTTTGGTGGTTGTTGAAATTTTGTGATCTTTCACCTGAGATTCTGGCATTTCGGGCAAAATAAATTAATATTAAAAAATCGATTCAGGATTTTAATGAATCGATTTTACGTTATCCAAGCCAGAATCGATTTTAATCGATGAATCGATTATAAAAACCCACCCCTACTAATTATAGGACAACATTTAGCAAACAACTGTATGAATTGTATGAATGGGTGTGATTGGGTGAATAAGGTAAGTTGTATGAAGCACTCTATAAGAGTCAGCCCATTTACCATTTACACTAGTGCGACATGAAACATAATAAACTTTAGACCAATATCTAAGCTGCCCTTTTTATCTAAGGTCTTGGAAAAAGTAGCATGTAACCAATTGATCCTGTACTTGATGCACAAAATGTTCAGGAGATTTTCCAATCTGGTTTTAAAGTAATGCATAGCACTGAATCAGCACTTTTAAGAATTTTTAATGATATATTTTTATCATGTGATTCTGGTGAAAGTGTCATTCTTATCTTATTCGATTTAACTGCTGCATTTGACACCGTAGACCATGAAATTTCCCGTTTGGAGCAGTGTGTCGGTGTAACAGGTGTGACTCTGAAATGGTTCAGGTCTTACTTAACAGATCAAACCTTTTCAGTTCACTTAGGAAACTGTGAGTCCTCCCGTGCTCCGCTGTCTCACGGAGTACCACACGGTTCCATTCTGGGCTCTATCCTGTTTTCACTTTATTTACTTCCCTTGGGCTTAATTTTTAGGAGACACAGACTCTCTTTTTACTGTTATGCAGATGACTGCCAGATTTATGTTCCTCTTAAAAAGAAAGATGGATCGTCTGTAAATCGTTTGCAAACATGTCCGGACGACGTCAAGTCCAAAATCAAGCACTTTCTTGCGAGACAGCAATTTGAAACAGTAATCCATGCCTTTGTAACCGTTCGGCTGCATTACTGTGATTCTCTTTATTTTGGGGTGAGTCGATCTTCTGCTTTTCGACTGCAGCTAGTTCTGAATCCTGCTGCACGCCTTTTAACTGGCACTCGTAGATGCGAGCACATCACCCAGTTTTATATTCACTTCATTGGCTGCCCGTGCATTTTAGGATCCATTTTAAGAACTGCCAGAGAATTCAACATAATGAATATGGTACAGAAGTGGAAGCCAGAAGAATGAGAAGTCCAACTTTTTGTGCGATGGTTAGCATCTTCCTCTGCCTTTTGGGTGCTACCGCAGGCGCCTTTGACGGTGCAAAACGTTTCGTCGACATTGTTGTGTTTGTTGGGGAGAAAACTTACAAACATACAGTACAGCACTTCAGAGTCACACTGCTAGCGATCAAAGATTTATGTAAATTTGACAAGCTGAACACATTCTGTACTGTACAGGAGACACGGCACGAGATTGATTGACAATGGTCTACAGCCAATCAGGACGCAGAACACAATGTGTTGTTTAAAAAAAAAAAGGATGCAAAATTGCACCAAAAAAATCAGCGAAACAGCGAAAGGTGAACTGTGTTATAGCGAGGGAGCACTGTATATCAAAGATTTCTGGACTCAAACTATGATTTTTTTTTTTAGGCAGAAGTGATGATTTGTGGATGAGAGGGTGCAATTCTAGTAATCAGTCAGTGTCACGTCAGTCTAACTGACTGTTTTTGAAGACAGCCTGAAGTGGCCCCAGGAGGAACTAGTTTCTGGTACTTCTACAGTACTTCAGCTTATCAACCCCAGACCTTACTGCTAGTTCTGTAATACCTGTAATAATAATAACTGTAGCATTAAAGAGGAAGAGGAGCCCCCGCCACACACACACCAAATAAATAAATAAATTGTGAAGATACTAACTAAACACGATTGTGTGCAAAGGTTTGTGCATGGACCCAGATAGAAGACACATGGGGGCCTAATCTGGACTTCTTTTGGCACAGCACTCGCAAGTCCTGTATCCAGGCAGGCTTTACATGGGTTACATGTGTTATATGGGCCAGATGCAGGCCAGATGTAGAACTGACCCATGTAAGGAGCACCTATATCCATACTGTAGGACCTTGGGCTCATCAAGAGTCTTTAAACTCCATTTTGGGGCCTTTGTAGTTCCTCCTTTAGGGCAGGTGCGCTTCAGCACAATAAGATCCTTTTGTTTATGTAAGTAATTGTACACATGTGCGTATCTATTTGTCTAGACTGTAGTTTGTAAGTTTATACCTGTTACTGTTTCCAGGGCAGGCAGGGCGGGGTGGAGATCTACCCCTGGGAGGATGCTGATTACAGCATCTACAAAGTCATCGACCGTTTCGGCTTCATGCAGTAAGTCTGTCTTCAAAGTAAAGTCATGCCGGTTGGTAGCACTCTGCCCTGTTTTGTTGCATCTCATCATTTGTTTCTCTTCATTCTTCCAGTGAAGATGAGCTGCCGGCACCAACTGCACATGAAGAGAAGGTAAAGAGGCAAATGCCACATTTCTTTCAGGACAAATGCATGCAGTAGGTTGTTTTTGTTCACCAGCTTCTTTTACTTTCATAGCTGAAGCAGCAGGAGATCGAGAGAGCAGAGAAATGGCTGAAGATGGTGAAGAAGTGGGATAAATACAAGAACAGTGACAGGGTGAGTAACAGTTTGCACACGGAGCACATGGAAAATTCAGAACAGATTTATAATGACTTCATTGCTGGAGACAATTGCTGACAAACATGTAAAACTGCAGCTGGTTTCTCTGATGTCAGCGAGTTTTGTAACACAGACTGAATCACAGCAAGTGTCGGTGTTGAGTCCAGAACATATTCAGCTCAAATGTACTCCCTCATTAAGAATTCTGAATCAAAGCTTCTCACCAGAATATAAATCACACTAGGAGAGGAAAAAACCTACAATCTTCTCTCCATCTCGATAATGATGTCCTCATACAAGCTTCTGGCAAGTGTCCCCATAAATCTCACAAGCAGTCATTAGCAATAACAATTTTGCTGAAAAAATGATGAAATCAGATTTCTTATATGCTAATTTCATGTTTCCATTATACTTTTTAAAAATGTATTAAAAAATCCCATTGTACAACGCAGAGGTTGGGTTCTGACACTCTGCAGTTCTGGGTTAGTTTCTTTGGTTTTGCACCGACACTCTTCCTCACTAAGACGATGTGCGTCCTTGTACGGGATGTGTAAAGGTGGAAAATTAGCTTGACTGGTTCTGACCCTCTGGACAAACACCTACATTAGTGAGAGAGTCGCTGCTATGCTTATTGATCGTTGTTACTGTGGCTGGAAAATCAATAGACTCAACCAGAGCAGCTGAGTGTACATCCACCGTTAGCTTGGTCTCCACTAGTGTCAGTAAGTCATCCATCCGCTTCCAGTTATCCTTTTCAGGGCTGCAGGGGCTGCTGGAGCCTGTCCCAGCTGTCATAGGGAGAGAGGCGGGGTACACCCTGGACAGGTCGCCAGTCTGTCGCAGGGTAGACGGACAGACAACCATTCACAGCTCACATTCCACCTGTGGGCAATTTGGATTATCAATTAACCTATCCCCACAAGCTGCATGTCTTTGGGGAGGAAGCCGGAGTACCCGGAGGGAACCCACGCAAACAGGGGAGAACATGCAAACTCCACACAGAAAGACCCCGGCCTGATGGTGGAATTGAACTCAGGACCTTCTTGCTGTGCGGCAACAGTGCTAACCACCGTGCCACCGTGCTGCCTAAATTGTTCATAAATAATAAATCTCTGTGTTATTCTAAGGTCTTTACCATAAAATATAAAGCACCTTGCAGTAACTGTTTTGGTATTTGGTGCTATATAAATCAAACTGAACTGAGTTCAGTTCAGTTTGATCCATCATTGAGCATTTCTGTCATCTGTCTTTGTTAAAAACATGAAACATTATCGTGCTCGAAGCATGAATTTGAGCTCTTTGTTAGCCTAACGCTCTCTTTTAAAGTCGTCATTGAGCTCGTTCTAGTTGTAATTCTAGTTTCCTTTTCCAAATGACTGAATAAATAATACAATATGTACAGTTCCACCTGACCAAAGCTGGTGACAGTAGTCTCTGTTCTGCTCTGCAGCTGTGGTGAACTCTGTGTAGTGGCAGCAGATCTCTGACTGCTGTGGATTCTGGTTCAAAGAGCCACCAGTTTACAGCAGATCCCTAAAGCAGAACAAGCACTTCTGTCACCAGCTGAAGTCTACAAACTCAACAAAACTCTGTGCTATACACCAGCACAACACCAAGCTGACCAGTTTACTCAGAGGCAGCACATTAGTGTATAAGGACCAGAGTTAGTTGGTTAGCAGTGACTGAACAAAGTCAGGGCTGGGAGGCTGCAGGAGTAAATATCATGTTGCTGTCTCGGAAAGATGGAAAAATAATAATAAATCATTAAAAAATATAGTTGTGCAGCCTGTCTAAGTAAAAAAAACCCAGAGTAATCAGAAAATTGTAAAAATCTGTAGCTAGAAGTGTAAAGTGCTTTATGAATGTGTGGCTAAAATGTGACTTGTAGTCTAAAGCACTTTGAGTGGTCAGTAAGCTGAGAAAAGCACAAGTACATCAAATACATACACAGCAATGAGAGCAAGCAAGGTGGATGAACTGTGCGTGGCAGGCAGGACTGGACCCGAACGCAGACTCACAGACACAGAGGAACAAAGCAAAACAACAAACAGACTAAAACTCACGCTGAATACAATTAAGCATTAAGTCCAAAAGAGAAAGCACTTGGCCCAAGACAAAGGATTGGGGGGGGGGGGGGTTTGGGGCCCGAGTGAGTGGAGGTGGGGGGGGGGGGGGGGGGGGGGGGGGGGGGGGGGTTTATGAGATGGAGGTACTTGAGGTAGAAGTTGCAAAGCCAACCAAGTTAACAGAAACTGTACGACAGAGAGATACTTACAAACCTGCTTCGAGTGCTCACGGAAAATGTTTTCAAACTTTTGGCTTTACTGTGAACGGGGTCGTAGGCGATCAGTAGGCGGTTTAACTTTCTGATGATTCAGTCTTTGTAGCTTCTGTTCTCTAAACTTTGTGGCGTTTTATTCACTCAGTGTTTATGATTCCCTCTGCTCTCTGCTGCCAGATGGTAAAACGAGTATACAAAGGCATCCCCCTGCAGCTCAGAGGCCGGGCCTGGGCACTGATGCTGGACGTGGACAGGGCCAAGAAGGAGAACGAGGGCAAATATGAGGTATTTATTCACGTCTGAAATGAGTCTCTTTGCAAATCTGTTCCAAGCATAAAAATAAGTTGGACATATAAATACGTTTTTTAAAAAGCTGAGAGAAAAACATTGTTATAACTGTTATAAACTGTAGCTATGTTGTAAATGTTACAAGTCTAATGTAATAAAGTAAAAGTATAAAGTAGCATGTTTTAAAAAAAGTTAAAGCTATGAAATATCAAAGCTGACAGTCTTATCACCTGGCAGACTGATCTTAACTGACACATACTTGTAAAGATGGTCCACCAACCTGTAATCACATTTTCAGCACATTCATAGATGCAATCACATTTTCTCTGATAGACGAGATGTTTCAGAAAACTGATGAAACACATATAAACAGTTAGCATAATCAATAATAGATTCATTCTGACTGAATTTACAATATATATTCCCTGATATGTAAAACTTGTTTTTGTAGCTCTACTGAATGACACATTTGTCTTTCAGCACAGGTACCTCCACATGTCCTTGTTGACTTTTGTCTGTTTTTCACTCAGAAAATGAAGGAGCAGGCCAGGCTGTGCTCATCTGAGATCAAACAGATTGACTTGGACATCAACAGGACATTTCGAAACCATATCATGTTCATGGATCGCTTTGGAGTCAAGTAAGTTTCACTGTCGAGTCGGATTTTGCAGCTGAAACGGATTTCAGACGGATAAACAGCTCGGACTTTCTGTTCTCAAAGAATATTTATAACCGCCAAGCTCAGTGGTGGGATCCAAAGTTACAGAGACATATTTTCAAAGTACTGAGCAAATGATGTAACTTGCACATTAAAGAAGGAATACAGTGTGAAAGCATACAGTTATCATATGCTTTCAGCAAAGTGTTAAGATTGTTAGGTCAGTGATATCATATTTAGGGCTGGGTATCGTCACTGATTTCTAGAATCGATTCAATTCCGATTCACAAGGTCCCGAATCGATTCGATCCACGATTCGATTTAATTCGATTCGATTTAAATCTGGGAAATTTTGACAGTCAGAAATATTATAATTCAGATCAGTACATTTACATATTTTTGTATCAATAAAAAGGAAGCTGACACACGCAAGACTTTATCACAGGTGTGAGCTCACAGCAGATGCCTTTGTGTCAAAGTAGCTGAAGATAAAACACAGAAAAACATGAAGGTGATTTTCCTGGCCTGGGATTTTATAAAAATATTCTGCAGTACATCAAAAACGAAAGAAAACCATTAATCAACATATGAACATTCACCTCTGACGTTACAGCGGTTTTATTAGAGACACGGTTAAGCGTTTTGCATTTTGAATAATTTTAAAAAGTTTAAATTTGTTCAGTATTGAACAGCAGAAATGAGGTTTTCTTTTCGGAAGAATGTAAAAGGGAAAAAAACAGCGGCCGACAGCCTGTAAACAACGGTAGACTTGTGCGTAACAAGCAAGCGAATAATGAAGAAAGAGAGAGAGAGAGAGAGCTGTGCATGAAGTGTGATTTTTATCCTGAAAAGTCAGCAAAAGTCAGAGGTGAATTCGATGTTTATGTGAAGCGTAGTTTGGATCTTCTTTTGCTGCTGGTTCGGTCAATATTGTTTGGAGAGAGATAAAACTAACAGCCATATGATCAGCGCAAAAAGGGCGTAAACACACAGCGCGGACCCGCGGATCAGAATCAGCGAGCTGTCGGCTTTCAGCCCCGACCGTAGCTGAGAAAGGCGACATCTCACTGATTCTGATCCGCGGGTCGCGCTGTGTGTTTACGTCTTTGTGCAGAACCGTGTACCTGCTCTCATTTACTGTCTTAGCTGTTTGGTGGTTGTTGAAATTTTGTGATCTTTCACCTGAGATTCTGGCATTTCGGGCAAAATAAATTAATATTAAAAAATCGATTCAGGATTTTAATGAATCGATTTTACGTTATCCAAGCCAGAATCGATTTTAATCGATAAATCGATTATAAAAACCCACCCCTACTAATTATAGGACAACATTTAGCAAACAACTGTATGAATTGTATGAATGGGTGTGATTGGGTGAATAAGGTAAGTTGTATGAAGCACTCTATAAGAGTCAGCCCATTTACCATTTACACTAGTGCGACATGAAACATAATAAACTTTAGACCAATATCTAAGCTGCCCTTTTTATCTAAAGTCTTGGAAAAAATTGTATATGACCAATTGATCTCATACTTGAATGCACAAAATGTTCAGGAGATTTTTCAATCTGGTTTTAAAGCAATGCATAGCACTGAATCAGCACTTTTAAGAATTTTTAATGATATATTTTTATCATGTGATTCTGGTGAAAGTGTCATTCTTATTTTACTCGATTTAACTGCTGCATTTGACACTGTAGACCATGAAATTTTAATCTCACGTTTGGAGCAGTGTGTCGGTATAACAGGTGTGGCTCTGAAATGGTTCAGGTCTTACTTAACAAACCGAACCTTTTCAGTTCGCTTAGGAAACTGTGAGTCCTCCCGTGCTCCGTTGTCTCATGGAGTACCACAGGGTTCCATTCTGGGCCCTATCCTGTTTTCACTTTATTTACTTCCTTGGGCTCAATTTTTAGGAACACAGACTCTCGTTTCACTGTTATGCAGATGACTGCCAGATTTATGTTCCTCTTAAAAAGAAAGATGGGTCGTCTGTAAATCGTTTACAAACATGTCTGGAGACGTCAAGTCGTGTTCCTAAATTTGTTATGACAAATGAGTATGGTCACCTTACTGCTTCGGGATGCCCTGAATATTTGTACAGATTATCGGTTAAATATCTGAGTAACGAAGCGATCTTGGTGAATCATCTATCGAGCGCTGCAAATTGCTTCTACAACGCAATGAGTTCCGCCTTTGACGTCGGCGATTACTGTGATTCTCTTTATTTTGGGGTGAGTCGATCTTCTGTTTTTCGACTGCAGCTAGTCCAGAATGCTGCTGCACGCCTTTTAACTGGCACTCGTAGATACGAGCATATCACCCCAGTTTTATATTCACTTCATTGGCTGCCCGTGCATTTTAGGATCCATTTTAAGCTGCTTTTATTTGTTTTTAAATGTTTGTCCAATGCTGCCCCTCTGTACCTCTCTGAGCTTCTTCATCCATACATACCTTCCCGAGTCCCTCAGGTCGGCAGACCAGCTCCTCCTGAGCGTGCCCAGGACTAATCGTAAGCTCAGAGGGGATCGGGCGTTTGCTGTGGCAGCACCAAAATTGTGGAATGAGTTGCCTTTACATGTTAGACAGGCACCTTCCTTATCTGTTTTTAAATCACGTCTTAAAACATATTTATTTACCTTGGCTTTCAGCACAGCAGGACTTGTTGATGTCTCTTAATATCTGTTTCTTATTAATTATATTATTTTTTAATTTTTAAGTATTCTATATGTAATTTAACAGTTTTCTCTTGTTTTATATTTGTAGCACTTTGGCCAACATTGTTGGATGTAAAGTGCGTTATAAATAAAGATGCGACCGTATTCCCCTCTGTTTCTCGAGAACTACCAGATCCACACGTTTTTGGCCTTTAGTTGTGTAGCTTCAGAATTAGTTTAGAGAAAAAGAGTAAACATAGCTGAGCAAGATGAATATACCAGCTCAAGTTAAAGGAAGAAAAAGAAAAGGTTGAATAAAAATGTTCCCTTCCTAGTACACACAAAAGCAAACTGGTAGGCTGGCTGCAAAGGGGAAAAACCACAGTTGCCAGTATGCTGTAACAGGAATGTCGCGATACCAGAAATATAGTAGTTGGGACCAATAGAAGTCCACGATTCTTCAAACCTATCTTGACACCTAAACAAAATGAGAGACGGGGTTATTTTGCTGCATTCGCTTTTAAGATGCCTTTAAATGTGGGACACCTACAGAATATTTACTGTGCAGTTAGCATTTAAACTAAGCACAATGGACTATTAGGATAAGGAGTATTCCAGTATTGGGATACTGGAATACTCCTTATTCACAGTGGGAATGAGAATCAGCACCTCCAAATCTGAGGCCATGGTGGAGTGCCCACTCTGGGTCAGGGACGAGTTTCTGCCCCAAGTGGAGGAGCTTACGTATCTCGGGGTCTTGTTCACAAGTGACTAGAGAAGGGGGCGGGAGATCGACAGATGGATTGGTGCTGCGGCTGCAGTGATGCGGATGCTGTACTGGTCTGTTGTGGTGAAGAGAGAGCTGAGTGTAAAAGCGAAGCTCTCAATTTACCAGTCGATCTACGTCCCTACCCTCACCTATGGTCACGAGCTGTGGATACAAGCAGCAGAAATGTGGCTGGACTCTCCCTTTTAGATAGGGTAAGAAGTTCAGGGGTGCGTGACAGGATCAGAGTAGAGCTGCTGCTTCACCACATGAAAGGAGCCGTGAGGTGGTTCGGGCATCTGACAAGGATGCCCCCTGGGCGTCTCCTGGGTGAGGTGTTCCGGCATGTCCCACCGGGAGGAGGCCCCGGGGCAGACCCAGGACACGCTGGAGAGATTATATCTCTCGGCTGGCCTGGGAACGCCTTGGTGTTCCCCCGGATAAGCTGGAGGAGGTGGCTGGGGAGAGGGAGGTCTGGGCTTCTCTGCTTAGCTGCTGCCCCACGACCCGGCCCCGGATAAGCGGAAAGATGGATGGATGGATGGATGGATGGATGGATGGATGGATGGATGGATGGATGGATATTTTAAATAAAAATCCAAATAGGTTTA